GGAAACATTAAAAAATTTAAAGAAAAAAAGAAAAGGAAAAAAGGGTTCCGTTATAAATACATAGATGCGTTATACTGTTTTAAAATACCTTTAACAAAGTTGTTAAACTTTTTGTTAAAGGTTTTGTTATGCAGTTTTAAGGTACCTTTAACAAAAGTGTTAAACAACTCATTACAAATTGTTAAATTATAAATTTTATATATGCAGTGTTAAATATTAAGTTAAAAAAAAACAAAAAATTAAAAGAATCTAATAAAAAATTGCATCTAATAAAAATTTGACTTTTTTAAGTTTTTGTTTGAAAGAGTAATAGCTAACTTCTTGAGAAAAGACAAAATTCTTTAAAACTATTTCATTTCAAAGTAATGCTCCTCAAAATGTAATACAGTATTTTCCAGAATTAGTTTGATATGCTGATTGACGAATGTCATTATCATTTCGTAAAATGTACTTAGTTTTTTATTTTTTGTTATGCAAATTATGAAGAAGTACAGGAGAAATATTGGTTTTACATTTAAACATAAAGCATATAACGTTAAAAATATTAAGCACATATATATTTAAAACTTTCATTTCAATTAATAGAGGCTTGGCATGAGCAAATTGATCCTTTAAATTAATAAGGCGTGCAACATGTTTCTGTTGACGATAAAGAGGTTCCAGTTTACTTTTATTAGTACTACCCCACGCAATGTTCGCATAGTTTATGTGACAATGAGTAAGCGAATAATATAGTTTAAGTAATGTATGTTTATTTAAAAAACTCCTTGCTTCGTGCAAAATTCCTATGCTTTTTGATATTTTACTACTAAAATATTTTATGTGACTTTTTCATGACAAACTTTCATCAATATAAATACCAAGAAAGTTTGTAACTGTTACTTTTTTTAGAAGTATATTATCGATAAAAAACAGTGGCATCTCATTTGCTATAAGATTGTTTTAGTCATTTGGATAGAAAAAAATCCATTTTGTTTTATCAATATTAAGAGACAGTTTATTTGTCTTAAACCAATCAGAAACTCTTCCTAATTCATTATTGATATTCTGAAATAACAATGTAATATCATTATGAGATAAAAATAACTTCGTGTCATCTGCAAACATATTCGTCATTAGATTTGAGGCTTTATGGAGATCGTTGATGTAAATAATAAAAAGAAGAGGCCCTAATATTGATCCCTGAGGAACTTCACAAGTTATATCAAGCAAGTTTACTGGTGAAACTACATCAACGTATACAAATTGCTTTCGATTATTTAAACAGCTTTTTAACCAATTTAAAACGCTTTTATTTAAACCGTAAATCTTTAGTTTATTTAAAAGAATATTGTGGCCTATTGTATCGAAAGCTATAGCTAAGTCGATAAAAACCCCAACTGTATATTGGGAGTTTTCAAAAGAGTTAGTAATACTTCTTGTAAACTGGAGAACTGCGTGTTCTGTCGAGTTATTTTTTTAGAATCCATATTGATTGCTTTATATTAAATTGTTTACAGATAAATGATTATAAGTTCTGTTGTATAAAATTTTCTCTAAGACTTTTGAAAATGCAGATAGAATAGAAATGGAACGATAGTTGCTAACATTAGTTAAATCACCTCCCTTACATATCGGAATCACCTTTGCTATTTTTAGTTGGTTAGGAAAAATTCCTTGCCTAATAGAACAAGAAAAAATCTTAAGAAGTACATCCTTTATGATTTCATATAATTTAATAACAATATTTACATTGATATCATCCGCACCTGCTGATTTGTTGGGTTTTAGCACTTTAAAAGCGCATATTCAAACTCTTCAAAAGTTAGTTCAAACGAATTAAATTGTGATGTATTAGGAATAAATAGATTACTTATTGGATTAATTGCTTGAGGAGATTTTTGGGATAAGTTTGGTCAAACAGAAACAAAATGTTTATTCAGCTCGTTAGCTATTTTTTCTTTATCATACAAAAATTTATCATTTGATTTGATGGTTTTAGGCGATGTGAGTGTGTTCATTTTAAAACTGCCTGTGATTTCTTTTTTAACTTTCTATGTGCGCTTAGAATTTAATTTATATTTCTCCAGTAAATCATTGTAATACCTTTTTTTAAGATTTTTTTTTTGACGTTCGAATTATTTAGCGTAACTTTTATATATAGCAATGCTTTTATCTGTTTTTAGTTTTAGGAATTTAATGTACAATTTTTGTTTGATTTTGGATGATTTTCTTAACCCTTAAGTAATCCATGGGGATTTTATACTTTTTAATATACAATGTATTTCGATTTTTGGAAAATTAACATCATATATATGAAAAAAAGTTTAAAAAAATTTGTCGTAAGCCAGGTTAGCATCATCTAAATTCGAAATGAGCCCATAATGAAGAGAAGACAATTGCTCTTTAAATGTTTCCAAATTCATTTCATTAAAAATACGTTTAACAATATATTTATATATATATATATATATATATATATATATATATATATATATATATATATATATATATATATATATATATATATATATATATATATATATATATATATATATATATATATATATATATATATATATATATATATATATATATATATATATATATATATATATATATATATATATATATATATATATATATATATATATATATATATATATATATATATATATATATATATATATATATATATATATATATATATATATATATATATATATATATATATATATTATATATATATATATATATATATATATATATATATATATATATATATATATATATATATATATATATATATATATATATATATATATATATATTGTTAAACGTATATATATAAGCAACTTTTATTGCTTTTTCAGCATATATATTACTATGCTGGATGTTTGCAAAACGTGATGGTTCTTAACTCCAATGCGTTTTTAAACAAGTAAGAGCTTTCTTGCCATAACTAACTTTTTTGATAAATTCCTTAAGATCACTAAAATCATCTTCATAAAAAATATGTTTTTTAAACCATATTTTGTGCCATTTAGCACTAAATACAAACTACTTCAAGTTGTTCTCTAGATGAGTTAACATAAGAATAACTTAAAAAATGCATAATCTGTTTTTGAATTCCATTTTACACAGTGAATAGATGGTTATGTATAAAAAAATTTTATTTTAGGAAGTTAGCCATTTTCTTTATAAAAAAGATATGATTTGCAAAGACTGTAAATCTATTTCATTATTATTATCAAATTATCTCTCCTTTCTAAACTTTTGCAGCCTAAAAAAAAGACCACTGTGTTTAAATGCTTTGACAAGTTTTTTGTATTTTTCAAGAATGAATTTAGTAAAAGAGTAGTGTAAGTTAAGTGAAGTAGATTTTTCATGACATACGAAACCAGTCACCAACTTCAAAACTCTTTTCAGAACATGATGTTGACACGAAATATACTGTGGATTGACAAATTCAAGTTCACTTGATTTTCTTTTTAGGTCTAGTTACTGTACCATTTTTTTAAACAGTATTAACAGCAATTGTATCTGTTATAATCATTTTTATATAATTCCATAAATCAAAAGAGTCAATAATTTCAACCAATTCATTAAAATTCGCTTCTGCTTTATCATTTTTTGTAGCATTTTTTAGAACCTTTACTTGGTGTTCATTTTACTTAAAATATATTTCATCAAAATGGAGGCACCATTTTGATGAAATATATTTTAAGGCACCATTTTTATATGATATTTTTAAGTTTTTTGCTTCTCTCATAGTGCTTTATATATTGATGAATGATAAGGTGTGTATATATCAAATTCAATATCTTTAACTAAAATATTGCACACCGCTGCAACTTTTCTTGATGGAGATTTGGCTGTTGTTGATAATTTCAAAACTAATGAAGTTGTGCAATAGCTTCTCTTCCTAAAGTTAGTATCAGGTATTGGTGTGTCAAAACATTCATACCCACTAGTCTCAATAACAATAGTATCGGAATCAGTATTAATATCAATATCTTCTGTAGGTGAGTTTTTGTTTTAGATGTTTCTGATTTTCTTTGATGGATAAGTTTTTGTTGGGTCAGGCACTTTATTAGAACAAAAGCCTGCTCTTCCTTGTATATCTATCTGCATATTGTAAAAAATTTTGTCTTCACTTGTTAGCCACGCACCTTTCAAATAAGTATTATCAAACAATTTAGTTCAAGAAGTGTTGACTGACTTTTTCGGTTTTCTCAAATATTTATCATATTTGTTAATGGATTTTTTACTTCACGGTGAGTAGATTGCATTGATAAAGTAGGAAATGAAAATTTTTGTCACAAATCTCTCAGTTCTAAGCAAATTATTTTGATTCGATTTAAATTTGACTTTTCTAAACACACAAATGACTTGAATCTTTTAAATACTATAGCTTTAGATGGCATTTTTAAACAACTGTTTAAATAGTCCATACAGACTACACATCTAGCAACATTGTGAAATCTATTTATTTCTAAATTCTTTGTCCAATTTTTCTTGTTTTTGTTAATTAAATTCTTTGATTGGTTATATGACAAAATTAAAGTCTTACAGAAACTTTTCCATTATATTAAAAAAGTCAAATATTTGAAAATTATAAGTTTTTAAAATGAAGTTTGATTTACAAAATTATAACCTTTAAAAATTTTTAATTTGCATAAAAATTAATATGACAAATTTATTATTATTTATTATTATTTGTTAATATTTTCAGAGATTATTTTTAGTGTGCGTTAATTCTGTTTTGTGATTCATTTGGTATATACATACAACATACCCATCCAAAATAAAACATTATCATTTTAAATTGCTTAACATTTATGTACAATTGCTATGTTGGGTGACTTTTTTTAAAAATTAAATAAAATATCAGATATATTCAAATAATATACATAGTTACTAATCAAATAATGCTATAGTGTTTCAATAGTTTTATAAAAAATATTAAAAGTAAACAACCTAGAATATAAAATATATATGTATATATAAACTTTTTCAAGCATACTCAACAAGCACTATATATTCTACAACAACTGCAGATATGTGTACACTCCAAGACTGTGATCAGATATGTGAGTTAGTTTCAGGTAAAGCTAAATGCCATTGCATAATTGGAAAGTTGCAAGCAGATAACAAGACATGCACAGAAGGTTAGACTATTTCAATCTTTATTTTATTCTTTGTTAATAGAAATAAATTTATACATTATATATATATATATATATATATATATATATATATATATATATATATATATATATATATATATATATATATATATAAAATATATATATATATATATATATATATATATATATATATATATATATATATATATATATATATATATATATATATATATATATATATATATATATATATATATATATATATATATATATATATATATATATATATATATATATATATATATATATATATATATATATATATATATATATATATATATATATATATATATATATATATATATATATTTATGTATTTTTGCTAAATATTAGTTCTATAAAACGGGCAAAAATATACAAACTTTATGTTTTTTATTTGATGATTATAAAAGATTGAACAGTAAACTAATAATCGAAATTTATAATGCCGACTTGTGTTGTTATTAATTGTACTTTTAATACAACCAGTATCTCGCATATCCTTTCACGAACTTTCATATCTGATATTACTGCCAACTGTATTGTTTAGTGCATTCTTGTACTTTTTTTTCATAACCTTAACAGGTTCTAATTGGTATGGAGTTGCCGACATTTTAAAAGTTCCATTATCAAAAATCAAATAAAATCAAATAAAATGATAAAATTTCCTTTTTTTCCGTATCCAATTCAGCAAATTTAGCAATTTAAAATAAATCAGCGTAATCAAAAATTTTTTTAATAAAAATAGTTAACAATTCATCAAATATCTCTAATTAATACTGTCAGTTTATGAAATTAATTGTTAATAAATACTTTTTTTCGACGGGAAAACAAAAAACATCATAGCGTAAAAATAACCAGAGAAGTTAGAAAAAAGTTCCCATTGTTTAAATAAAAATAAGTAAGGTTCAAAATATATAATACTGCGCTCTCTTGCACAAAAACGAGAGACCGTATACATAACGTTCTATATAATGTAAAACACTCGTATAAAACCATAAGATTCATAAGTAAAGCTTTAATATTTGTTTTAATTTAAAAACAAAAAAAATATAAGTAAGATATATAAATCTAAAAATTATTAAGATATCGGTATAATAATAATAAAAAGCTTTTATTATTTTTGATTTTTACAAAAATTTGTTGTAAAAGTTGTTTCGCTGTATGTTAAAATTTTTTTTTTTTAAATTAAAATAGAAAAACGCAGCTTTGTTTAATTACACTATTCTTTTGTTAAAAATCTACCGTGACGTCAAATGATAAAACTTTTATAAATTAACCGCTTCAAAGGAATCGCCAAAGTCTGTAGATTGCGACGTATAATTTGAAGACTCCATGTTATTGAAAAAAATGGAGAAGACAAGCTTCGGCTAAAACAACAACGTTAGTTTTTCTCGGTATGCATTCATTATTTTTTTGTTAATCAAAAAAACTTGGTTTTTTATCATTATCTTTAATATGAACACAACATGTGTTGGGAGTTTGGGATCCCTTTAATACCTAGTCAAAAAATTTGCACTAGTTGCAGAAAAATTCTGAACTGCAAAGATAATACAAAAATAAATGAACTCCAAGAAAAAGAAATTTATGTTGACACATTAAAAGAAGATCTTAGTTCAAGTATTGCAAGTTTTGGATGCTCACCTCTCAAACTTGTTTCAAAAAAAGATAGAGTTGCATATGGAAAGCGTGAAATTGAAAGCCTAAGAGCTCATACACAAAAGGCTGTTGCCAATGTGCTAGGTTTGGAAAAAAGTCCGCTTGGTGAAATTGAATCACCCTCAAAAAAATTTTCGAAAAAAACAAACACAGATTTAGACAATATTATGATTCAAAATAAGTCAAAACTTAAAAAAAACATTTTCAAATTCTGAAAAAATCACACTTCTTACACTCACTCCAGACATTTGGTCAATAGAGAAAACTTAGAAGTATTATTTGAGCCAGAAAATTAAGAAAAAAAAGTGGAACACTATCAAAACCTTCTCCAAAACCGGGTAAAAAACTAAGCGAAGATGTAATTACAGAGGTTGTTCATTTCTATAAATGCGATGAGTATTCAAGGGTTTGTCCAGGAAAGAAAGAGTTTGTTTCAGTTAAAGTAGATAGTATAAAGCAACACATCCAAAAGCAACTTCTACTAGTCAATATAAAAGAGCTACATGTTGAGTTTAAAAGGAAATATAATTCCTGTGGGTGGTGCTTCTGGTTTGCATGCAGTTTGTGTTTGCCAGTACCATCAAAATGTAAAGCTCCTTGTACAGAAAATTCCTGGAATTGCTGATTACAAAATCTTATTGAAATTAATGGTTTGTAGCATTGAAAATAGAGATTGTATGCTGCATAGATGCGATAAATGTTCTGCTAAAGAGGTTTTGTTAGATTACATTGACACTTTGTTTACAGAAAATGAAATTAGTGAAGTTAAATTTTATCAATGGCAAAAATCAAATTAACAATGTAGTTTAGCACCAGTAACTTTACCTTTAGATGACTTTATTGAAATGGTTTAAGAACAGGCACTTTTTTCAACATTGCATGGTAAAAGCCCTTGTGATGGTGTTGGTGGAACGAGCCAGTCTACAATCACTTAACGATCCTATTGACACAACAGGCAAAATGTACAGCTGGTTGTTCAACACGTCAAAGCAATGTCTTTTTTGTTGTTGACAAAGTTTCAATAGAAACACATATTACAAACTTCAATTTGGAAGACAGATATCGTTCTTGTTCTACAACACCTGGTACACAAAACAACCACAGTTTTATCCCGACATCACTTACCTCAATAAAAATAAGAAGAATTTCATTTGATAGTATTTGCGCTAATGTGGATTTTTCTACTTGCAGAATTTTTATTAATAAAATTTCCGGTTACTCACGAGGAGAATATGTAGCCTGCGCTTACGATGCTCAATGGTATTTAGGAAATATTCTTAGTATATCAGAAGAGCATCAACATCTAAATATGAAATTCATGAAAAAGTCTTTATGTAACAAGTTCACGTGGCCATGCAGAGATGATCTTTGTTGGGTACCTCTGATGCATATTTTATGCAAAGTACAATCTCTTAAGGTCCAGTCAAACAGTAGAAGATTTTATAGTATTGACTTAGAAAAAAATAATGAGATTATTTTTTATGTGAGAAATTTAACTTTTTTTAAATTTTATTCATTTTTTTTTTTTTTTTTAAAAACATTTTGTTTGTTTTTCACTAAAAAAAATTTGTATTGTAAAGCGGGGAGGGGACAAAGGGGGAGGGGACTTTATCTATTGGGATTTTATCTATTAGGATTATAAGGCTATGAGCATTGATATTTTTTAATTGATATTTCATAATAAATAACAGTATATAATTCAATGCATTTATTTATTATGTTAACTTCAGAATTTTATGGAAAATTTACCTGACTTTTAGAGATTACTTTTTGGGTGTTATAAACAAGCGCCCATTATTTTTTTTGGTTTTTATTAATTAACACTCTTTAATTGATGCGTATAAAAAATTTTATGAAAAAAAAAAGTGCCATTTTTGGTAACAGATGCTTTGCATCACAGATCAATTTTACGAAAATCTCAATCAAAATCCTTTTAGAGACCTATAACTTTTAAATGCAGCTGTTTAGTCAATTGATTTTTTTAAAGATGTTTATCCACCACATGTAGATGATTATCCACCACATGTAAAATTGCAGGCAATTTTATTTGTATTAATCTTTTAACTAGTTTTTAAGATCATTAAAATCACAAAAATAATTATTTTAAAAACAAAAATCTCAAACTTAGCCCACCATTATACAAAAAGTTAATATGCCAAAATTAAAATTTTATTCGTTTCCTAAAGTATCCACAGCACACTTGCTATTTTATAATAACTGAAGCATAAAACTAAATTGTTCAAAAGTTATTGGCTGATAAAAATGACAAAAGAAAACTTTTTTCTTGTTAAGTGAAATTTTATGCACAATAGCCCACTACTTAAATTGCGTTTTATCAAGAGCCATATAAAATATTGATCTAAATTTTTAAAACATGCTTTTCACATATATACGTACAAAATCAAAAAATTTGAATCAAATATAAGATGGTCCATAAAGGACCTTTGCACCACTTAGTATGGAATGACCCAAAAGGAAGATTAATTCTTAATTTAACAAATAATTTGGACAATTACTTCTTGAATTAGAAAAAGATTTTCCTAGTTTAAGGTTTTTTATTTCTTTTCTTGTTTTAAGACTTAAAATTAGAATCTTGTTTTAAGATAATTTTTTATTAAAACAAGATATAAATTTTATTATTATTATTTTTTTTATATTACAATTTTTGTTGATATATATATATATATATATATATATATATATATATATATATATATATATATATATATATATATATATATATATATATATATATATCATCATTTAAAAGTGTATTCCATAATTTAGGTCCTTGATTTGTGATTGAGAACTTAGTGGCTAAGTAGGTTTTGGATTGATTAAAGTTATTTTTTGAGAATTTTCTGGTGTAAATATGATTTATTTTTTTAAGTATAAAGTAAAATAAAGGCGGTGCCGTTTTTTTATCAAGTTTATACATAAATATAAGAACTTGATAAAGATTTATTTTGAATACATTTAATATATAAGGCCGTGGCGCAGTGGTAGAGCGCTTGCTTTATAAGCAGGAGATCCAGGTTCAAAACAAGCTTTGGACATATTTTGTATCACGGAAAGGAAGGAGGAGTGAATTTTCTAGTTAAATACACTTCTGCGGTGCTCTGCGAAAAGACCGTTAGGACTTCTTGGGGTACCTAAATAAAAAATTTAAAAAATAAAAATAATGAATTTATTGAAAAGTATTTTTGTATGGGGTAATTGACCTTCATTTGTAATAATCCTAATAGCATGTTTTTGTTTGCAAAGATGTCTATTTATTTATTTATCGTTGGTGCTGTATCAAGCAATATTTGCACGTTTAGGTAACAATGTATAAATGAAAAGTATATGTATTTCAAAAAAGGTTGATTTAAAAACTGCTTAGCTTTATACAGTCTACCAATTTTTTTTGTAATTGTATTCTCGATTACATTTAGATGTTCTCTCCAATTAATATTTTTAATATTTTTAATAAATTTAATATATCTAGAGTTACCCATACGAAGTTTAACGATGTTTCCCCTATTGTTAAATTATTATGAATAAAAAGAATCGGTAGTTTCAATGGAATATTTTTTTGTATGATGGAATAACGTTTATATAGTTTCAATAATGTTTAGGGATAACTTAGTTAATCAAGTTCTTTGTTTACTGTTTAAAATAAAGTGATAATATCTTAATTAAAATAAAACAAGTAAGGATTAAGATTGACCTATAATTAATAACGTCATAAGAATCACCTGATTTTAAAAATGGGACAACTCTAGCGATTTTTTACAATTTCCTGAAAAACTCCCTCTTTTAAAGATAAATCATACAAGAGCAGGATTGTAATGAGTTGTATTGAATATATAATGATGCTGCTACTTATATTGTCATTTCCTGTAGTTTTTTTGGGCATGATTGAAGAAACCGCGACTAATGATTCTTCTTCTGTAAGTTTATCATTAGACATTTTATTAAAGATAATTAATATATAAAAATATTAAGATAGTCAGTATGGTTTATATAAATATTAAGATAGTCAGCATGGTTTTCATAATAGAATTTAGAAAGTTGAGTTGCAAGAAGCTTATCTATACTTTGTTGCAAAATAAACTTTTCATATACTTAAACGTATTGTCGTCATATTTTTTAGATATACAAACTCTTAACAAATTTGTCAATATTTGAAATTATTTAACCATTAATATTAATGCATTATTTGAAATCCAATTTAAAAAAGGCTGGTAAAAGATAAAGTATTACAAATATTTATTTTAATTAATTTTTCTTTGTACGTGTAAATTTAGATTTAAGTGGTCCATGCTCAATTAATCGTGGCGGATGTGATCAAATATGTAAAGAAAATTTAGGCAAAGTGGAATGCTCTTGCATTTTTGGAAAGCTACAGCCAGATGGCAAGACATGTAAACAATGTAATTTTTTTCTAATGTTTTTAAAGTTAGTTTTCATTTATAAAATATGAACTTTTAAAATACAAACAAACTCAGAGATAAAGAAAATGACCTAGTCAGCACGGTTTTCTGAAAAAATGTTCTATGTGCACAAGTCTTTTAGAACCTATTGGAGTATCGCACTAAACAACTATCTGATTAAAGATGTTATTATATTAACTTCCAAAATCCTTTTAAAATGCGTTAAAAATATAAATGTGATATTCACAAGTTTATTACATTGCATTTATTTTGCAGATTTTGTAGATTCAGGCCTTGTAAATTGGACGTTCTTTTCCTTATATGTTTAATTTTTTAAACTACATCAATATTATTATTTACCGCAAATCAAGTTGAATGTTAAATTGATATTGAAATGCTATAATAGAATGTTTATTTTCTTTTAATTTTTTTTATTTTTTATTAAATAATTAAACTTAATATTACATTTTTAAATATTGCGTTAAATTTTCTCTACATTAGTATAAATGAATTAATATTTTTTTTTAATTATTTTAATACAAATTTTTAGATTATTATTTCTTTAATTTCTAATTGTGACTATGTAACTAAAAATGTTTTTTTGTTTTTTAAAATGTAGCTAGTATCAAATTTGAAAATTTACGTTAAATATATTTACTTTATTTATTAAAAATTTTTGAGTTTATCAGCAATATTGTTGTAAAAACAAATGTTATTTTTTAAAACCATTATTTATTTTTTTTTTTTTCTTTATATATTTTTGAAGCTAGTTTCAGATTACCTAATCAATGGCGCCAAGCTTTTGTTTCTCCAATTTGTAAAAAAGGTGCTACACCGGGCCCTAACAACTATTGACCAATCTTGTTTACTTGTACTTGTTATTGAAGCATGGAAAGAGTTGTTAATCCATATATTACTATCTAAATCATTATTAAATAATAATTCCTAGTGAGCACGGTTTTCTCAATTAATGTTCAACGTGCATGAATCTTTTGAATCTAAAACAATTCGAGAATCGCACTTGACAATCATTTCATAACAGATGTTGCATAATGAATTCGAAAAGGACTCATAGGTCAGTATTGCATTCAAAACTATTGTTTAAACTTTCATTACACAGTATGCGTGGCAACCTTTTAGAGTGGAACTCTTCATTTCTCACTGACAGATCTCAACAAGTTAAGATTGATTCTTTATCAAATTTAATTCTATTCGTTTTCGGTATACCCTAGTTGTAGTTTGATTGGGCTACCATACCATTGGGGTATACCATAGTGTAGTTAGCACTTACTCTAATGCATAAGAGTAATAGGTTTAATTACAAATAAGGTGATTATTCTTTAAATTTGTGATCTAACGCAAAAGATCATGGAATAACTATTGACTCCCGCTTACACTACAAATCCCTTTGCTAAAATCATCCATGTAACAAATACTAGAATATACTTAATATAAAAATGTTTTCAATCTCTTAGTTTTAGTATTTTAGTAGGTGCATTCACCTCTTATATATGACCAATTATTGAGTATTGCTCTCCAGTTTGGTTGCCACACCAAACTATTTAAGTAAAGTCTTTTGAAAATATTCAAAAACGATTCATCAAACAAAGTTATTATCTGCAACAATCTGAAATCAGAAGCTATAAACGTTGAAAACATATGTATGTTTAAAAATAAAATAAAATCCACTCGTTTTGAAAAACACTGCATCATAAAGTAAAATGAATAAATAAAATCTTGAATAATTTTTTTTTTTCATCTCTATTTGTTTGTTTTGCAAATTTATTTTTATTTAGAGGTATACTGTAGGTGTCCATTTTTGTGTCTGTATGTCATTTAGAAAATGTAATTTTAATCACGTTCTAATATATTTTTTTTATTAAAACTTTATTGCTATATATACCATTTACTAAAAAATTATTACTGTGCTTTAACTTCCGTTATAAAAAAGTTTTTGCATACGTTTTGTTCAAATTTTTGATGCAGCCTCCAAACACATTTACAAGGAATTTAATTTTTAGTAAAAAAAAAAAGTTTAGAAAAAAAAACTGTCAAAATAATTGCAATAATTTTTGTAAAGAATAAATAAACTAATTTTTATTAAGAATAAATAAACTTTAAATAGTGAAGAATACTTAGTAATTTTTTAAAACAAATTTGACAGTTAAGTTTTACCTAAACATTAACTTTAATATTGTACAAGTTAAGTTCATAAACGTTTAATACATTTATATCTTTAAATAGAGGTTTTGTATTTGAAAAACGATTTAAAAAATATATTATTCGCATTGCATGTTTCTGATGGCGGTAAAGACGTTGCAACTTACTTTTACCTGTACTTCCCCAGGCAACATTTGCATAGTTTATATAGCTCTGAATAAATGAGTAGTATAGTTGTTTTAAATTATTTTTATTTAGATAATTTCTGGCCTTATAGAGGATACCAATACTTTTTGCAACTTTTGTTGATATATAATCAATATGAGCTTTCAATGTCATATTTTCGTCTAGATAAATAACTAGAAACTTTAAAAAGGAACCTTTTTTTATTTTTACTTCATCAATATAAAGTTTAAGTAAATCATAAGGGAAAAAACGTTTTTTTATTGAGGAGTGGAAAAAGATCCACTTTGTTTTGTCAATATTTAAGGTTAATTTATTGCATTTAAACCAATTAAAAACTTGATTAAGTTCTTTATTCATATCTAAAAAAAGTTTG